TTTAACTCGTGTTGTAATTTTATCATTAATTTAATATTTTGCGACTTTAAAGAAAAAAGATGCTCTTTCATTTTATGTATGTATTGAATTCCTTAAAATTTTTAAAAATAATTTGTGACTTATTTTATTTGTATTTTTTTAATATTTCCCATAAATCGACAATTAAAAAATTTGAAAAAAAACACCATTGTAATTTCTGAAAAGTTCTACATAAGTGTGATAAGTTACAAAGTGAGGCATCGAGATGAATCTGAATTAAATACAATAGAAATGTCTACTTGCTGTTTCGCTGCCGCGTCTGCTAGAGTGTCACCCCTCAAATACGTGCCTATCAGTAGTAAACGATTACCATCAATATACTTTCACAGAGTAATAAACAGAAGTATCCCTTCACATCTTTCTATGTCCCAGATACATACTTATGACCTACATAGCCGATTAAATTAAAATTAAAAATTGTCAAACTGATTCAATTTAGTATTAAACGGACGGAATATTTATACGAATAGGAGTATGTGAGATAATGAATTAAATTGATACTTCTTTTACTTTACAGAGAATATGGTTAATTCAAAATCATATTCATAAATGAATGAAACTATGTATTTTTCATTATTTTCATATTAAGAAAATTCAAATAACAATAGTATTGATATTATTATAAGTCTGTTTGTGGTTACTAAATTCACAGAACAACGCACAAGTTTTTCAAATTCCTGTCTAAACAACTGACTCATATCTTAGAAAGAAGACTGCTCTGTTTCAGGCAGACCCTAGCAGTGTCAGTTGTATATAAATAATCTTTTCGTCGCATTTCGTCAGAAGACTTTCCATGCGTCGGTGAACAAACTAGTTTTTAACATGTTATTTATATATGTCTCACTTTGAAATTTAGCAGATATACAACATTAGTGTAGAAATACATGAGTATTTTTACAATTAATTTAAGGGTCGACTTAAAGTAAAAATTTGCATTTTAAAAATTAAAATATATTTAAATTTTAAATAACATGTTTACAAAAATTATATTTACATCACATGAAAGTAAACCTTTTTTAAGTTATATTTAAGTGTAATTTTATATTTCTGTAATAAAACGGCATTTGCGCCAAAAATTAAATATTAGCGAGCTCATGATTCTTTGGAAAAAGTAAATGGTAATACTTCTGAAACGGAGGGGGGTATAAAAACAAAAACGAGTCACCTATTTTCAACCCTAGATCTCATAAAAAAGTTTCAAGTACCTAAAAAATAGTGATGTTTTGTGAGTGTGTGATTTGACGTGAGATGACTCCACTTTGGAATACTGCTCGTACACAGAACAAATTATAATTTAATTATCTGTACAAGAAACTAGCTTTGCTATGTCTTCGGACTAGGCACATTTTTGTGTTAAATTCTGGAAAAATGTTAAATTTATTACGAATGCAAATAGTATTTTTCATTGCGTCCGTTCCGTTTTAATACAAGACGGAGCTTCCAAGTATTACATTTCCTACCATCCTTGATTGAAGAAGAAGATCAAAGAAATTTTAATGTAAGTTGCATGGAACGCACCCTATACGTAAATGCATTTGGTTTTGGAATAAACAACGGCAAACAATACTTAAAATATATCTTTTCGAAGATTATGACTATTCAAAAATTGAAAATTACCATTAACAAGTAACTTTAAGCACTGATTCCCTTTATTAATCTTGAATATTGGTACAGTAAATGGAGTAGTTCTCGATCTTCCCTCTGGACCGAATCGATATAATTTAAAAGATCGACTTAAATGTCAGAATATATCTGGTGATGAAGAATGTTCAATTATGATGAATACTTTGGTCTTATAAATAATATTTGAAATTTAATAGTCTAATAACATTTTTTTAGAAATAAGTATTATTATCTACCCTTCTTCTACAAAATATTCATACCTGAGTGTACTATGCAATTTATAAAAAAAATAAATAAAAAGATGACGTTGAATGAAATTAAGTATATAATATTAAACTCAATATATGAAATTGAGAAGTATAAATTGAAAATATGTACAAATTATTTACAAAATATGAATAGGTGAAAACCAGAACGGTATAAGTGATTTTATAAATTCTGAGAAAAACGTGTTTATTTAGGTTATATTTCAGTGGCTATGTATTTTCGGGGTTTTATGAACAATTGAAATGCGTGTTTTTAATCATGAAATAATGCATCACAACTTTACAGTAATATTGACTAAAATAAACAGATTTCTCTGAATTTATAAAATGTTACTTACATCGTTCTGAATATCACCCATTCATATAATGTTAAGTACTATGCCAGATGCGAAAGCAAACTGGATCATACATGCCTTGCAGCGTTTCCGTCCAGACGCAACAACGCAATTCCTTAGTTGCCGATTCGTTACACTATTACATTCCGCTCACTGTTGTGAAATCAAAAAGAATAATAGTACATTCTGTTGAAAAGAAAAACAAAAACATTTCATTCATAGTTGCCGAGATAGCGTGTTATATTACAGGCACTTTCGCACGTTAAGGTGGAACTCATACTCTGATACCCAGTCGCACATCAAAGCCACGAGCTGCACGGAGAGTTCATCTGTCATCCAATTGGGAGCTTCGTGACTTAAAGTTTTGGTATTGAAGTTCCGGAGTGAATGACAATTTCCCCCTTTCCTTCCAGTTGGTGACCTTGAAGTGTCTCTACGTTTAAATCGGAGTTTAATGTTCACTTACAAAACTGTAAGGAATCACCCATTACTAAATGCTGCAACTACGTGTTCAGATGGAAAGTACTTGAGACTATGGAGATATGGCACTTAGGGCCTTCAAAGAGTGAGAAGCACTGTCGGCGACATGACTTAGTGAGATTCTTCTTTTACGTAAATCTTCATTTCTTGAAATTTCATTTTCTTCTTCTTCTTCTTCTTCTTCTTCTTCTTCTTCTTTTTCTTCTTAATTTTTTTACATTTTTTGCATCTTTCAAACGACGCAACGCGTAAGTATAGAATAATCCTCCGTTATTGTGTAGTCATAACGTCTCTACGTCGTTGTCAGTCAAGAGAACCGCCAGGTAGGATATCGACGCCTCCAACATGCGATCCCACGTCGCTACCCAGCGGCCAGAATTGGGAAAGGATTAGGAAAGTCTAGCCCCTGTGAACATGCAAACTCGTCTTGTCGGAACAAATTTCACATGCCATTGTCCGGAAATCGAACCCGGACCTCCTTAGTGAAAGGCGAGCTACTTCGCTCGGAGTGACGAGCACGTTCGTTGTATCCAGCGCGGTTCAATTGCACTTATTGATGAAATTACCAAAGAATCGTGTTTTAGACAACAGAACCAGGATACGCACTTGTAGAAACTTATTAAAGAATGGAACAGCAACTATTAAAAATTCTACACAAGAATAAGTTATCATGTTTCGAGAAAACCATAAATTCAAAAACATGTTCATAAAGACAAGTCAATAGCGCGAAGGTGCAAGTTTCGTCGGATCGACTAAACGTTCGTCTGAATAATAGCCAAGAAGGCCGTTGGCAGCCCACTTTTGCCTTCGGTGTCTTTCCTGGTGTCAGAGTTCTCGCCCATCTTTCCACCATGGTTCCCTACAAGGCACAAAATCACATTATTTTGTTTTTGATATACAGTGCGTAAAACCCGTATTGCAAGAGACCTAAATATTATGCGAACAACGCTCTGAAAAATAATTCGTTGTCCAGAATTTCAAAACTAGCAAAAACCACCTGCATTTGTTTACATGCGGAGTAAGTAATATTAGAGGAAACCATCTTTTTGTTTCTTGTTATTTGCTACGCAACTACGGATGAGATAAAAATGAAATAATGATAAATGAAAAAAATTGTAAGGTACCAAAGTAATATAGGTTTAGCCATTTGATTAAAATGTTCATTTTATTAAAAGGTTTCATTTTGTACAAAAATATATTTTGGTGAGAATGACTTACAATTATGAAAATTAATATTTTTAGTGCTAACTTATTTCTATAATAATAGAAAAAATATGTATTAGTCTTCCTCTATTATGAATCGAAGAAATCAACTATTTTCGGAAATCAAACATTTTCAAATGAAGAGTTTCAAATTTCTTTAGTACAAATGTAATCGATATTTGATGAATTATAAAGCAAACTTACAACAATAAATACATAATAAAAACAATTTTATATTATTTTTTGTGGTCATATTATGAATCCAATTTACTTCGAACATTTCAATATCCAATGTATGTTTCTATAACCTTGAGGTAATGTAATTCGTGTCTTCCGTAATTGTATCCCGCAAATACAAATTTATAAATATATTTTTTTGTTTGGCAATTTTCGTTTTCGTGGAATACTAAATATTCATTTTAAAGTAAATTTAACTGAATTAAATGTAAACTAGAGTATTTGTCAACGCTGAATTACATTATAATTGTAATTATAATTGTATAAATGACACAACAATTATTATTAATAACACACCAAATGCACATTCGATATTTTTACAATCTGCAGTAAATCACGATCAAAAAACGATCCAAACTCTGATCTAATCGACAAGAAGCGCTATTGAAGTCTCATCACATACTTTGTTTTGACCGAATGAATTTGTCTCTTTAGAGTATTTCTTCTTGAAATGAAATATTAATTTACTTCATATATCCAGGCAATCTCAAAATAAGCATCTTACATATATAAAAAATGGAACATTAAAAGCCTTATTAAAGTACCTATTAGTAAGATTTCCAGAAGTGTAAAACCCTTTCTATTTACCACAATTATCCATATTTAACATTAATATTAACATCGAATTTTCAGAGCAGATATTCCAAATGCGTGTTGCAGCTTTTCACACATAAGTATTTCGGATATGGCATCAACAAAACGTGACGTCTTCTGGGCGCTCACGAAATGACGCCCACAAACAGCAATGATATAAATAATTTACATCATAGCACAAATCTTACAATCTACGTACTTGGTCGATTCCAGTCGTCACAGATCATACAAGTACTAGTACTGCAAAATTTAATACAACTTTTCGCCAATATTCGTTATACCTACTTTTAACATTTTGCTTCCTTTCTCTGGCACATCCTTATTTTCGCTGAGAGACGGAGTCACTAACCATCTGTGATTGACGGTTGCCCAGAATAGTCGAACCACTAACCAATAGAGGAGTTCTGCCACACTGAGAATGCTCATGCCCAAGCATAAGCCCAGCAGTCCACCGCAATTTGCTGTCGACATAGATTACTTTCATTGAAAATGCATGACGTATTAAAGCGCATATCATCTACTTAATATTTAATTCCAATATGTTAAATGTTAAAGTGAACGTGTTGTGTACCGCAACAAGCTAAATATTTATTACTAGATTTAAACTACTATACTACTATGTTGGATTGTTGATTGATTGTGCCCACTTCTTAACACGCTAGAGGGTTTTTCTTAAGAGTGACGATGAACTTAGAATTTGAATCGCGTGAACTTTATACTATTGCAGAGAAAATTCACGTTTTCACGGAAACTCACGCTCTTGCCCGAAGTTTGGTCGAAACACACACAATCACACATCACAAACAAACTTTTGATTTAAAATGTTATCCATTCCTGTCGGAAAACATCTTACGTGCTGAAATGTTATTTCAAACAATTTAAGTAGAGTGGACGTGAGAAATATACATTTAAGATATTAACGTTCAGTGTTAAGTCGTGGAGACGAGCCAAGAGACTATTGAGAAAAGAAAGAAATGAATAGATTTTCAGAAGATTAATCTGTGTGAATTAGAATAAAACAAAATTGAATAATAATCATAATGGTTTTGCCTTTCTGTTGCCTGTAAGTCATCTATATATGCATATATAAAAATGGATGATGGTATATATAAAAGCGGTAAACTTCGACACTGCGTGACCGATCCCCATGAAAGTTGGAACATCTACGTGTTTTATCTCAGAGAAGGTTTATTTGCTGTTATGTTTGTTGTAACACTACTACATGGTACAGCAGAACAAAATTGTGTTTCATTTTAATTAAATTTTCATTCAAACTGCGCTCGACTTGCGGGCTTCATTGTTACTGAATTGCAGTGGACAAAATATGTATTTGATGCCATCTGAGAAACCAAACGATAATTGCTTAATATAAAAGAGAATATTTATTTTTTCTCTTAAAAAAATCAAAATAATGTTCACTAATAATAAATTAACATTGCTTAATGGCAATAAAGAGACTTAGAGAGAAGCAGTAGTAGATAATTCCAAATTAGATCTCTGACATCAAGTCACAAGATACATTTGGGATGGAATATTGCAAATGACATCTTTTGACAGTGCGTCTTTCAAATCTTACCAATAAAGTCAGGCAAAGAGTACATTTCATATCTGCGCATGGGTGTGTAGGTAGCTTCCTCGAAATAAATTGATATTACCGTAGCTCTGATAGCTGTATGTGCCCTGTAACAATACGAATAACATTAATACTCCTAGAAGGAACACACACTATTAGCAAACATGAGCAATAATAAGGCCGCCGCCGATCTGGAAATCTTTCAGCACACAGAAATGCACTTTTCTTTGCATTTCTGCCACATTCACCGTACACCAGAATTAGGTCGAGCTTCCCCTCGTCCGTGTACATCTTCGCGGATATTTCTGCACTATTTCACAGCGTTTACAAATTTCTTCCAAAACTGGAGAGTTCCCGTTTAGTTCTGACTGCATTTCCTTTCTCCACCGCCCTTTTATTCTACCTACTCTTCTTACATCACTTCGAGGCATCTCCAGTTTTCCCACTTTACTCGTCCGACGCAAAAGAAGGGAATGGCCTCGTCGAATATTACCCAGAATTTCTCGTTCAGATTACGGAAACATGCAGTCGGCGTGCGTCTTTAAAACTCTTAATTTCTCGAAAATTTTGTTATGTTACATATGGCGATATTCATATTTATGAACTTGTCTCATCACGCTTGTTATGATGAGCTAAAAAATCTATAGGGGTCCATTTAAAAAGTCAAAGTTGGGCCAATATCTCTGCAATAAAAAATGCAAAAGAATACTATTATGCATAACTATATGTGCCCCTTGCATATAGCAGTTTTAGTGAAAACCGCATCTTAGTAGTATCTGCAACGGTTCAAGAGAAAATTGAAGGGGACAACGTAGGTGAACCACACGGTATATTCCAAATACCAATAACATTTTTACAAGGCAAGTACAATAAATTACATTACAGTAGCTTGAATTGCTATCTTCAAAATAATGTAGTGGTTAGATTACTCACCGATTAAGTATCGAAATCAGGCAACTGAAAATTAGCACATAAAAACACTTTGCTTTTCACAGTTCGCGCTAATGGCCGACTGCAAGGCAACAAAATGAACACCCTCCCGCTTCACTGGGCCTCGGGGTTTCAAAGAATTGAATTGAATTTGCCTTATTTTACGTGGCGAGACTCAGGCCATGAGGCCCGCTCTTCCGTCTGACCACACAAATTTCGCTACGCTTCTTTCATCAACTAGCAGAGAAAGGAGGTATTTCTTGGGCGAAAACAGGCGATTTCAATTTAGCTCAGAGGTGTCATTTAGGCTTACATGTAAGTAAATGTACTAACATGGAACAGCCGGCTTTACTTTCCCTCCGAAGGATTATGTCGCCCTAAAAATCCTCGGCTTTGATCGGGTTTGAACCCGCGAGCTTGGGCATAACAGTCCTGTACGCTAACCGTCACACCATCGCCGCCAAGAACTGCTATCTTGGTACGTTTCCAATATGTAATATCACTCTTCGGAGATATATGTCAAGGGGCTCGCATTAGGAACCGGGCCCGGGTTAGGGCACGTTCACTATAAAGGTAGTACAATAGTAGTCGTAGCAGTAATACTTATAAAGTAATAGAACTTTGTAAAACGAGTGTCTAAATGAACCAATTGTTGTAACACATAAGTTTCAGAAGTGAATAATAGATACAGTCGTAAAGAAGGCTTGGCAGTAGCGAAAGAGGTAATGACTCAGGGGCACCGCAAATCCAAACATACCGAAATAGTTTAATCTAATAATTGTGACACATAGGGGATACGCTTGGTTCAGGGTTGGGGGGTGGATGCCGCGTAGACTAAAGGACGCAAGTGTTAATGGCATCTGTGTGCTTTGCGGTGATAGGGAAGACTGAATTCACACCCTCTGAATTTGCTGTGCAACCGAAACATGGAGAAGAAAATGGATGGGAATGGGAAATTACTACTTCCTAAACAGGAACATAACGATCGCCCAAAATAGGTGATAAAAGGTCTAAATTTATGAAAGAATTAGGAACATTTTTAGGAAAGGTTCGGACCATTAGGGAAACTGAAATTAGGGAGTGGGTAAACCGCACTGTTTAGCTTGAGCAGAGTATAGACTGGAGAGAATTAAATAAGTCAATAAGTTAACAATAAGTAAGTTAATTAGTAATTTTATGTTAAGTTAGTAAACAGTTAAGAAATAAGTCATAAGTCGTAGTCAATTGGTAGGTAACCGGTCAATATAATAAATAAAATAAAACTGGAAAAGTAATAAGCACATTAGGGGGGGAAGGTAAGGGGGGATCGAAAATATAAGGG